ATAATAATAATAATAATAGTAATAACAATACCAACAATCCATCCACCAATGCCTAGCGAGGACCAATGTTTGATATGACACACCATAAAATATCGTGGTATAAAAGGACAGGAAAGTAGAGCTGCATAAAAGTGCAATTCATGTACGTGACGTTGGAGAATTCCCTACGTAGCACAGAGCCGTCACTCGCACATCTTTCCGTTCTGTCTTCGTCTGTCATCCAGACAAGAAAGTACAGTAAACGAGTGGCAGACGGCGGGGGCTTGGTAAGCAAAGGCCAAACGTGCACTACTTTAACTTGTAACACCTTCACTCACATAAATCTTACAGGCATGCTTGTTCTTCTTTTTGGTTTTTTAATAGTTTTTTGTTGTTGTTTTTTCTTTGTTTTTCTTCTCTTTTTTTGGGGGGTGGGGGTGGTTTTGTGGATTTTGTGGATTTTCTTTTACATAAACCATGCGGAATCTATCACGATCCCCAAAAACCATTATCTACGTATTACTTGGTAAAGTTACACCTGAGACCATACAACCGTTCAGTGGCACACAAGCTCTTTACCTAAGTGCAGTTTTGTTTATTTGTTTAGGTAAAGAGAAGCACATCGACGAAGTAATGCCCATTTAGTGCACAGACGAAACGTTAAAAAGTGGGACCTGCTAGTTGCGCCCTCCAACCACGCGCGATGCCGTATTTGCAACAGTGTGGCATGAGAATTTGGGGCATATGGAGTTTTTGGTAACATCTTCAGGTTTGTTCATTTGTCTAGCTTTTGATGAAAAAACCCCCAACCAAACAAAACATCATTTATTTGTGTTTGATGCAGAGGATAGTATAATGCGCATCTACCTGGTAAATCTATGAAGCGTAACGTGTTAGAATTGGAGAAAAGCCCACACCATAAACATTGTTATTTGATGATGGAGAAAGGAAAAACCGACAGAAATATCCTGTTTCAACCTATTCACGAGAGACACACTTAATGTGACAACCTCCATCCAACCTCACTACCAGAGCAGCATCCTCACATTCCTTGGATAAACGACACTGGATTTGACAACCACTGATCTTCCACCCCCCAAACCCCCGAGAAGATGGGTGGGGACTTCCCTGTGCTAAGCCTCCTGAAAAGACCCAGGGGTCACGGCCAGTGACTGGGTCCACCACGAGCCTACGCGCGTGCAAATCTCGGCACAATAAAGGAAGCTTAGCAAGATTTGTCTTATCTTTGAGACCACCGTGTCAGGCTGGGCTGTGGTAACGCTGAGGACTTTCGCACCTCGCTCGGGGGAGGTCAGAGAACGTGACCTTTGACCTGCTGTGGGAGAAATTAGAACGACCTACTTTCTTTTTTTGGTGTGATGGGTTAAGATTTTAAATTCCACTCTGGACACCATGTCTCTTTCTCTCTCTCTCTCTCTCTCTCTCTCTCTCTCTCT